TGATAATCAATTGATGATAAATAATAAATTGTGTGTGCGTGTATGTGTACCCTCAGAGTGAGGCAAAAGTAGGTTTACAGTTGTGAATATGTGAAACACAGTTTATCTTATATTGTTATTAATTATTGTATTATTTTCCATATAAACAACTATAAACCTACTTTTGCCCCACCCTGTGTATACATTTCCTAACTCTGTGTATTAACAGGGTTTAGATATAATGACACCCTAGTAGCAATGAGCCTACTTAGCACTCAGTTCTTGGTTTCTCAATGTCATTTTCCACTAAAATGACATTGACCTTCTTGGAGAATTGTCTAACTTCAGAGCTGGGGCAGAGAAAATGCAAGATGAGCCTGGAAAATCTTGCTGAACAAGAAAGAAGTGCTCAAAAAATTATGGGGACATTTCCGAAAGATAGCATGAAGGATTCCCAGTGGCCAAATGTGAAACAATTTGAGCTCAACTGATGCTAAAAATGGTAAGTTAGAGTTTAACAGGAACGAGATCCAGTCAATCCTCATTATTTGCAGATTCAGTATTTGCAAATTCACCTGCTCGCTAGACTGTATCTGTAACCATAAAATCAATACTAGCAGCACATGGCCAATCGAGGACATGCATAAAACAGCAAGACTTGGGAGTCGCGGGATGCACATTCTTGGCTGAGGTTGCACAAGGCCCTCTTGTTTCAGCTCTCACACTGTAGACAAGCGTCCTTTTCACAATACATTGTTACATTTTTTGCATTTTTGTGCTTTTGGTCATTTCATTGTTTAAAATGCCCTGCCACCCCCAAGCATAGGGCTGAAGTGCTGCGTAGTGTTTCTAAGAGCAAGAGGCTGGGGCAGGCCTCCCAGAGAAAGTGCGTGTGTTAGATAAGCTTCTCTCAGGCAGGAGGTACAGTGCTGCTGGCCACGGGTTCAATGTGAATGAATCAACAACGTATATTCCATAAGGTGTCGCTGAACAGAAACACACATCAAGCAAGGTTGCGGGTTGGTGGGTTGCCCGCGATGTTGTGGCAGGAATCCAGCCCTGTGTCTCCCCTGGAGCCATGCTTCAGTCTTGGCTACATCAGTGCTCGTGGTGACTCTATAGAACACAACTTCTGCTAATAATGAGAACTGACAGCGAAGTACCTATAAATTATTTATCGCTTTATCGTTGTGATTTACTATCCACTTTACAGTGGAGAAACCAGGCAGATACATCCTCATCCAAGTGATGGAAGTTCACCTAACTGGTTGCAAGGCGAGGTCGCGCTGTGTGGCCTCTGTCACAGGGTGCTGAGCACAGCACCGTTCCAGTGGTATGTCTACGAAAGGGCATTAAATTAGGGGGTGACGTCATTAAAGCCAAGTTGAACAATATCCATAAAGTTATTGCCTTAGGCTTTTTAAAAAGATAAAGGTCATAAAAGACACACACAAAAAAAGATGAGAACCTTATCCAGAATAACAGAGATGAAAAAGACACTAAAACTTGTACTTTTGGATTGGATCTTGGACATAAAGGGCAGTTGGGATAATGGGCGACATGTGAGTGGGACCTGTGGTCTGAGTGATAACCTGGGATCGATGTGAACTTCCTGACTTTGCTGGCTGCCCTGTGGTCACACAGGAGCATGTCCTTGTACTGAGGAAACACACATGAGAGTATTAGCGGGCAGTAGAGCATCATGTCTTCAATTTCTCAGGTGGGTCAAAATGTCAGCAATTGGAGAATTTGGGGTGGAGGGTACACAGGCATTCTGCGTGCTGCTTCTGTGGCTTTTACGTAAATCCAAAATTATTTCAGAAACACAAAGTTCTAAAACCTAAGTCAGCAAAGAGGTTGCTAAATCCATCCATTTGCAGCCAGATACCTCGTTTTTATGCTGCAAGACATGATTAGATAAGTTTCTTGGTGTCACTTATAACTGTGTCATTGTAAAATCAAAGATGCAGCAAAACACAGGATGAAGGAGAGATGAAATCTTGACAGTGATCACTGAAAGCTAAGACATCCTACCCTAAGGGCAAGCTGACACGAAAACCTCCAGGCTTTTAGTTTAGTCACCATGGTGTGTGACCACCACCTCTATCTAGTTTCAAAACATACGTTTTCATTGTAAATAAATATAAGCATTTATGTTCAGGAATGAGGTTGAAATTTAGCCTTATTGAATGTAAATATACTTTTACCTACTTTCAAATTTTCTACCAGGAGCATACATTACTTTTATATGCTATGAACAACCCCCAAAAAACTGCAATTCTAAAGGGATGCAGCAACGTGTAACCCTCCAAGACAGGGGTGGGGAACCTTTTTTCTGTCAAGGGCCATTTGGATACTTGTAACATTACTCACAGGCCATACACAATTATCAGCTTAAAAGTTAGCCTGCCATATTTGGTCAAAGATTTAATTAACTCCCCCTAATGCCTTGGCAGAGCCAGACCAAATGATGTCTCGGGCCTTACACAGCCCCCGGGCTGGATGTTCCCCATCCCTGCTCCAAGAGAAGTCGTCTCTGATGCAGACAGCTAACTTAGAAACTCCTTCCTCCTCCTCTTTCAACCTTCCTTAGGATGCACGTCTCCACTTATATTTTACTAGAGGCCCAGTGCACAACATTCATGCACTGGGGGGGGGGGGGCTGTCCCTCAGCCCAGCCTGCACCCTCTCGCAGCCTGGAACCCCTCGGGGGATGACTGCCTGTCGCCGCTGAGCTCAACAGCCATGAGCCCAGCTTCTGGCTGAGCGACACTCCCACAGGGGAAGCGCACTGACCACCAGGGGGCAGCTCCTGAGTTGA